TGTGAAAAAATAAACGCACCGAAATCAGTTTGAATTCAAACTCTGCTAATTTTCAATGTGCATTATGGGTAATAAGGTCTATTGTATTATTTTAACGGTTATATTATAGCTAGTTTCAAATTATTCTAGAAGCTATTGAGTAGGGATAACTGCGAATCAGAAACACACCGAAATCGGATTGAATTTTAACTCGGCTTACCGGTTACACTTTTTGACACGCTATGAACTATAATTAAAATGGAATACCCAGCAATTAATTATGGTTGATCATCGGTGTGTTCTTGAAAATATGGAGAAGGAAATCATTAGACTTTGGTCAAACAGAAGTGCCATGAATTATATAAAAATGGCAGTGCAAGTTGACAAATGAAGAAGATAAGGATGAAAATTTTGATGACCGCTGAGAGGCGCAGATGCACTGCATACCGGAAATGTCAGAAACTTCTGAGCTGCAACCAGTCACGCCAGCAGAAATTGGCCATCATTTGATTAGCCTGTTAGCAGGCTATATCTCTATCTTTATTGATAACAAGCGTTGAACTCTGCACGTTCTCACGACTTCAACAACATTAGTAAAGGAAACTGGAAAGGTGCCTTAAAATGATCGTTTCAATCTTAAAATCTCTTCGTAAAGTTTCTATTATTGCTATATTACATTATTTACACATATTAATATTTACAGTATTTACATCGTTCGGGTTTTTGTACTCATCTTTATTGGCATATTCACAACGTTTCGGACGTTGTACGCTCCGGCCTTCTTCAGATGATATACGTTGGAATTAAGAACCGAACCCTTTATTTATTCCGATGGTGGGGAGGCGATTGTTCTAATTCCACGTGACATGTATATCTCAGTTTCAGTTAATTCCCTTTAGTAACTCAACTTTCCAAGTTTCTGTTGCCTCTACATTGAACTCACAATAAATTCCTGTAATGTCATAATGTTATCATCCGAGTTTAATTTATAAAACCTCTTCGCTTTCAAGCTAATACATTCCACACTCCCCTGACCACTGTCTTGCGCCTTTCGTCTGACTGAAACATTGAAATGGATAATTTCTGTATTAATTTTTCGAAGTTGTAACAATTAAATTTCTATTTCCGATATGAATTCAGTTTGTATACCGGGGTTGAATAAAACTGCCGAAGTTTTCGTCGGTTGAAATAGATTTTATGGAGGTAATTTTGAATTTTATGGTTTTCTCTCTCTCTCTCTCTCTCTCTCTCTATCTATATATATATATATATATATATATATATATATATAGGTAGTTATTTGTTTTTTATTTTGTCTACTGTACATTATAGTAGGGGTCATTTGGGTACCCTAACCCTAACCTAACCCTAACCCTAACCTGTTTCTATGAGAAAGAAAACCAGCACGACGCAATTACCTCCGCAAGAAATTTGGAAGCGGCATACCGTAGTGCTTGGTATTTGCGCCAGAAGCTCAAATAGGAACATTTCAGAGTGTTTGGGTATCAATCCGAGGACAGCGCAGAGGATTCTGGTGATGGTGATGTTATGCATTCATTCATCTTCTCACAGAGCCTCAGACTCAACACGAAGGCCTACATCCAGTGCCTTGACGAGGCAGTGTTGCCCTGAGTCAAGAGGGTGGGAGCTGAGAAACCCTTTGTCTGCACCATGCCACACAAGCAGGAGAATCCAGTCATGGCTGTCAAACGATTTCTTCAACCACCTTACGCCTTACATCTGGTCACCTAACTCCCCAGACTGCAACACTCTTGATTATTATGTGTGGGGTGCAGTCTTTAGTATTTCAAGATATTTTTGTGTAATTTTGTAAAATATAGATGAAGAGAAAAGCAGATAATTTGATAATGATTGGAAAAAGCTTAATCAGAAAAGAAAGAAACGAAGAAAGAAAGACATACACTGTCAAAGAGTAGAAAAGAAATAAAGAAAGAAAAAAGAAAGAAGGCAAATACAATGAGTAGAAAAAATATGTATTAAGAAAGAAAGAAAGACAGAAAGAAAAAAAAAGAAAAAAAGGCAGATACAATGATAAATATTAGAACAGAAAAATGTATATAGATATGAAGAAAGAAAAAAGAATAGAAAAAAGCAGATACAATGATAAAAAGTAAAAAAGAAATAAAGAAAGAAAGCAGATATAATGAGAAGAAAAAAGGTGTATTAAAGGAAGAAAAAACGAAGGAAAAATGAAAGAAAGAAGTAACGAAGAAAGAAAGAACGAAAGAAAAGAAAGGAGAGCAAATATAATGAGAATGTATAATAAAGATGAATCAGAAAGATGAAAGAAAAAATAATGAGTGAAAGAAAGAAGTCAAAACAGGAACGATAGAATTTTGAAAAGAATGACGGAATTGAAACGTGAAGGAAAGAAAAACTGCGTCAATCACAAATGCTAAGAATGAATACTGAAGTAGAGTGAAGAAAGAAGGAATGAAACAAACAAACAAACGTGAAAGTCGTGAATACACCGACTTTATTTTCATAAAATTCACTTTGAGATTAGATGACAAATTCTTCGTGGGGTTCTCGCGTCTGCCCACCCGCAAATTTCATCTACGAATCAATCTCCATCTTAGACGCAAACACGCACTTGGGCAAACAAACAAACAAAAAAAAAAGCGCATGTTTTTGTTATTGCTTTGAATTTGTTTTCTCCAGTGTCTTTGTTTGCTTTTCTTTTTTCTTTCCTATTTTTGTCTCATATTGCGAACATTGTATCATCTAGAGTTCAATTCTCGTTAGAAGTATTATTCTTTAAAAAAAAAAAATTCAGGGGTTTCTTCTTGCAGTTTAGTTGACATGGAATCACGGGATTTTTCTTCGTTTTTTTCCTCTTCTTCTTCTTCTTCTTCTTCTTCTTCTTCTTCTTCTCTCCCTCTTTCTCCCGCTTATCCTCGTCTTTCTCATAATATATATATATATATATATATATATATATATGTGTGTGTGTGTGTGTGGACATCGAGGTCATCACCAAGGGGCAACAGTCTGTCTCATAGCTAAACGCTATTTTTTCAGGCCATGAAACACACTGCTTTTTTGTCCTCAATTTACATACCTTCTATACATAGTATTGAACACATTAACCAATAGATACAGAATATCTTAAAACAATAATTTTATCAAATATATATATATATATATATATTATTTTCAAATGTAGTCTTTTCAGTTCTGTTTTGATATCAGTTATCATTAAACTGACTTTTGCCATTTTTTCACACTGACCCGTCTAGCTTGTCTTTAAAGTTAAAATATCAATTTTTTTTCATCTTACTTTAGTTCTTTCCTTTTTCTCTCCTAACTTACTTTTAAGTTTCTTTCTTTCTTTCTTTCTTTCGCACTCTCTCTCTTTTGCCATGTTTCTCAAATGGCTCTCCCTCAACAGTTTCTCACGTACTCTCCGTTCCAACGCCTCACCCTTCGGACCTTACCCTCCTTTCTCCTCCCATCCTCTCCTCCCCCGACGTGTCACTATCGATAAAATAGTAAACAGTCTTACATTCTGTATCATAAAACAGTGTAAATAAACTTGGCTGAATCCCAATTGACCTTTAGCTAACATTGTAATAAGCATCAGTTTCGGATAGCTAAACAGAAACGAGTATCCCCAAATTCCTCATCTCGTTACAAAAGGAACGAAGAAAGTTTGTCAATTCTATCAGCTGATTTCGCGCTGAGCCTACCGACTTCAGTCTTCGTGAAAACCAGCGAACAACAACTTGACTTTAACGAATACTTAAAGCTAAATTAACGAACCTATCCGCGGGATATATTTTAATAAATGACGGAAGATACGGTCATATCCAAAAATCTAGATCTATAGTTAAAACGATAAACAAATGCGTATATAAAATGTGTCTTAAACCAAATCAGAGTTCATAGGATTAAATAATATTTACTATCAGTCTATTATATATGCTAGTTTTCTTGAGAATGGGAGCGATTATTACTCTCCACGATATCCTATCCTTTGTACCTCTTTGTCTTTATATTATCCTTCCCAATCCCTGTTCTGTCATCCATTTGCACAAACACACTGTCTCTCTCTGTCCCTCTTTCTTTCAATATGTCCTTGTAAACGTCAAATTCTCTAAACCCCTTTTCCTTATTAGGCGTTCAAGAATTTTGATTTGTCTCTTTCTGATTCTAAAGACTCTTTCTCATCTATCTATATGTCTGACATGTGGTGTTATGATTATTTACATTATTTACTTTATTCGGACTAGTATCCACATCTTCATTGTCATATTCACAACGTTTCGGCTGTTGTATGCTCCGGCCTTCTTCATGTGATTTGACATCCTGAAGAGGCATGGCACATGGAACTAGGACAATCTACCCCGGTGAACGAAATAGAGGGTTCGGTTCGAAATTCCAATCACCCTAAGAAGGCCGGAACGTACAACGGCCAAAACTTTGTGAAAATGGCAGTGAAGATGAGGATAACAGTCCTAATAATGTAAATAAGTCTCTTTCTTGTTTGCATATTCCTTAAAATTACCTGTACGCTAATATGTTCGGTCTCATCATTTTTCCGAACCAAATTTTTTGTAGCCTCAAGTCCCCTCTCTTGCAGGTTATTTAAAGTCAGAAAATATTAGTTTTTTTTTTAATTTTGGGGGGATAATAATAATTTTCTGATAAGCGTCCTACGAATTAACCCATAGCTGGGGATGAGGTGTAATAATACCTTTCCCAGGGCTATTTGTGTATAAATGAATATAACGAATCTATCTGAAACTGGAACTCGGCTCTCCGATTAACAATTCCGAGCCATTATCCATTACACCACCTGCACATCCAAACTTAGAGCACCTGGTATTCCCAACTGGTCACGCATCTAGATACTCACCAGGCTCGAAGATGCCCAACTTCGGTGATCGTAGGAGAACCGCTGTTTCAGCGCTATATGACTGTAAACCTTCTTTCCTACCTAAGGTTATTTACGCATCAGTAAATATAATGAACCTCCGACCTCCAATTTCGACCCACACATACAGCATTTGGTATTCCCAGCTGGTCACACATCTCGGTACTGACCAGACTCGATGTTGCTTAATTTCGGTGATCGTAGGAAAATCGGTTTTTCAACATGAGATTGCCGTAAGTTTTGGAAGGCAAATTTTGCTATTTGAATCCCACTTCGGATCTCGGTGTCATATTTTCCGTCGTCAGTTGTAATGAAGCCCTGATTGGTTCTAGTTTGGAAATGTATCAGCAAAATCAATATTGTAAATGTTACCAAAGTTTTATTTATACATAAAAAAATTCTATCACTTATTTAATCCGCTATAAACTTTATAAAGTTGGAATGCTGAATTTAAAAATGTTCAAAATCAAACCTTTTGTTTTCTTTTCCTATCATTATGTTTCACTCTTGTTTCAAAATGCCTTATAAGCACATATGTAAATTGATTTTTCATATGTAAATCGATTTTTCATATGTAAATCGATTTATATGTAATGCTTCGTTTATAATTCGACCATTGATTTTAGGCGAACTAATAATTTATATATGATGTCTTTCGGATATAGGTCGAACATTGAAAAATATAATTTTTTATTTTTATATTCAATTAAATTCTAATTATCTGTTATGAAACCTTTGGGATCTGATCGAAAATTAACTGCTGAATCGAGACATTCCCCCCACACTTGAGAAGGTCAAATGTAAGAAGTTACGTTGAATTTAATAATAATAATAATAATAATAATAAAATTTTTGGAAGTGACTTGTTACAGACATGTTTCATTTAAATGAAAAAAAATTGCATTCGTATATACACTTTTCCTCTCTACAACCACCACCATTACCGATAGGCACGAGACGCTAGAAAAATAGATTTTTTTTTTAAATTCAAGTTTCAAATTATCAACTATTCAACTCCTTGGCTTTAATTGAAAATTAAACTGTGAATAGAAATATTCCTCCTTCACTATTAACTTGAGAAATTCAAGTTAAGAAGTTAATTTAAATTAAAAAGATATATTATTTAGCATTTAATCTAAATTAAAAATTATATATATATATATATATATATATATATATATATATATATATATATATATATTGTCATTTGTTTACGTTAAGATACGTTTTGGGAGCAGATCGATCGAGAGAAATCTTCGAAAATTGTGTGTTCATAAACAGTAATTCGGACTTTGCTCACCAGACCTTTCTCTGTAGCTGAATGGTACAGCACATCAGATTAAATGACAGATTCAGTATAGGAATATAGGTTCGGTTCCTGTTGGTGAACGCATATTTACTATGAAATTTCTCAAGCATTCAGCCCGGTAAATATAATTAATACTTAATATTTTAATTAAAAATAGAGCATTTACTTAAGTAATTGTAACTATAAAAATAACGTTTTAACAGAAAATATATTAAAATAATTGTAGAACTTAATCATATATATATATATATATATATATATATATATATATATATATTTGTATGAATATGAGCTTGTGACCCTGGGTTTCATATCCATACAACTGAATATGTTAACTTTGTCACTAATATTGAGCACTTTCCAATAAGTACCTCGCATATATATATATATATATATATATATATATATATATATATATATATATAATGTGTGTTTATAGGTATGCATATGTATGTATGCTATTGTCGGATGGTCGGTGGCTAAATCGGCGCCCCCACTTCAATTTCTTGCGAGCGAGGCTGGTTGTTAGCATCTCTGTAGAATAAAATTAAGACCTTTCAAAGGGTCGAAGACCTCTTGACCAGTCAATGGCCAGTTAACTAGAGATGACGAGATTTTAAGAGATGCTGGCAGCCTTAGATTATTTTGGCATTAGCAAAACACAGAACAATAAATGAAATATACAACAATGGTGATAAACAAGAAAACCTAAATAGATATATTTTCATAATACTGCTTAAGAAGCCAGGTGGAAACGAATGTGAACTCCATCAGACAATCAACATCATGAGCCGTATAACAAAACTTAGCCAAATTGTAATGAATAGAGCGCATATCAGAATCAGACCGAAAATTGAACAAGATCAGTAGGGGCTCATTAAAGGCATTGGAACAAGAAATGCGATATTTGTGCTCAGAATGTTAACAGAAAATATAGAAATGCATAAGGATGGGTATCTATGTTTTAAAGATGATATAAAAGTGTTTAAGTACGTCACAGGGAACTGTTGGAAGTGTTAATAACCTTCGCATATTGGGAAAGGATATTAGAATAAGCCAGAACCTATCCTGGTAGCCAAAAGCCTTCATATGGATAGAAAATGAGTTTCAGTAAATATACAAAAATAGAAAGTGGTGTAAGATAAGGATGTGTCTTCTTACCGGACTTATTCAACTTATATAGGGAGGAGATTCCTAGAGAATTAGAAGTCCTACCAGGATTCATTATTGACGTCTACAATCTTTCGATCATAAGATATGCAGACGACACAGTTTTGAGAGGAAACATAGAAAGGAAACTACAGAAGGTAGTAAAAGAAAGTAAGAAGAAAGGACTAATTATCAATTGCAAGAAGATATAATGCATAGTTTTTACCAAAAGGGACATCCCAACATGTAAATTACAAATTGAAGATAAACAAAATTAAGACGGAAAATGCGAAACTGAAATCCGAAGTCGAATTGGAATAGCGAAGATTGCCTTCCAAAACTTAAGCAAAGTATTAAGAAAGAGAAAAGATTCGTCAGAAACAAAGAGTACTGAACTATTATTAAGTAATATAAATCTTCCTGTATTGCATTGAATGCCAAACCATCTGACAGATGAAAAGGAGACATAAATTGCCAGAAATGTCGTTCTACAGTGGTTCGGCCATTTATTTTCGGCGAAGTAGTACTTTCTAACTGATTTGCTTTTTATATAGGTCGACCATTAATTGTAAGCGAAGTAATAATTTATATATCTATAGGTCGACCATTGATTTTCGGAAAATTAATAATTTCTATCTGATTTGCCTCCTGTGTGTGTCGACCTTGATTGTCGGTGAAGTATTCATTTATAGATACGATATGCTTCGTGTATAGGTCGACCATTTATTTTCAACAAACTAATGATTTGTATCTGATTTGATACTTGTTTAGTTTGATCATTGATGTTAGGCGAATTAATCATTTATACCGTGTCCAGTTACCCAGCATTTACGCCCTTCTCTAACAGCGCTGGCTTGGGCATGTATAACTTATGCCAGATGAGAGGATTCCGAATGTCCTTCTGTACGGGGAAATGGCCGCCGGTAGGAAAGCACGTGGGCGACCTCGTCGTCGCATCAAGGACGTCTACAAAAGGGACATGAGGGCGATGGACATGGACATCAAGAGGTGAGAAGAGGTCGCCAACGATCGCTCACGATGGAGATGCGATTTATACCGAAGACTGGAACAAGGAGAGGAGAAATGTTTGCCGCCTGGGAGAAGCGTACACCACGGAAACAAAACAACGAGGTGACGTCGGGGGAGAGCGTCTTCACATGCATTCATTGCAATCAAAACTGTTACTCCCGTATGGAACTGTACAGCCATAACAGATGCTGCATCGCCATCAGTTGCTGAGGCATAACTCTTTGGGCGCAAATCCAAGGTTCCTCGAGACCGACGCATGTCGCACACACCTAATCATACGATATCCATCATGTATAGCTCGACCTTTGTTTTCAGCGAGATGACAAAATAATCATTTATATATCATGCATATGTCGACCCTTGATTTTGGGGTACTGTTATTACAATATGCAACGCGCATAGGTCGACTTGATTTTCGGTGAAGTATTCGTATATGTATGACTCAAGTATAGGTCGATCACTATACTTCAAGTTAAACCTTCAACAAAGTAACAAAACCCCATATTTATATTTCATATAAATCTCAACAGCTGTCTCGTCCTTTTGTGTCAATCAGGGAAATATGCATTCTCTTATTAAATTTGAATCTATCAAAAAGCAATTTCATTGGTCAACCTTGTTCTGTGTTTATTATATCATCTATGATATTACCTATCCTAGCTCTGTTGCTTGGGTATTTGGAAAGAGAGACTGTAGCAGATAGAGTCAGATACTTACTAGAGCGTATTGAGGTCTGGAGAGAGCTTGAGTGCCAACAGAAGTTCGAGGCGAGGGGCTTCCTTCAGAGAAGACACATCCAGCATGAAAGGTGAAAGTTCGATGGGGTGAGCGTTATTAGTTTGGTTTCGGCCATACTGAATTCTAATTCTTCCCCACCCCGACACCTATTGAACCAGATGAGTGGGGTCAGAGGAGAGATGAACTGTTAGGTTCTGGTCTTCCTGATTGTTGTATATTTATCACTGGTCCTAGTAGTCAGTGTTTGACGCAATATAGTCTTATTAACTATATTTCTACTAATTTTCACTTGTACCCTACTTAAATATCGATACGATAGCATGATTCTTTAGTGAATTTCTGTCCATCCGAACGTATTAAAATGATAATTTCTTTCAAAGAAGATTGAGTGTGTAAATGGATTTTTATTGTGAGTAAAAGTTGCACAAGTCGAAATCCATCTTTGATTTTCGACGAATATATGAAGCGAGTATAGGCTGAGTCATCATTATCGGCGAAGTACTCACATATATGATATGCTTCATGTATAGGTCGATCTTGATTTCCAGCGAAGTAATCATTTATACATGATATACCTCGTTTATAGGTCGACCCTTGATTTTCGGTTACGTAATCATGAATATGTCGAATATGAATAAGATAGACCCTTGATTTTGCGCTTACTCATATATACATAATATGCATCTTATAAAGTTTAAACCCTTATTTTTGGTGAACTAATTTATGCCTGATATGCATCGTGTTTAAGTCGATACTTGATTTTCTGTTAAGTACACTTTTATATATGATATGCTTCATGTATTGGTCGATCTTTGATTTTTCAAGAAGCAATCATCTCTGAATATGCCTGGTGTATATATTTATACATGACATACCCACGTGTATAGGTTAGACATTGATTAAAGTACCCTCTGGTCATCATATTTATTATTGCGATATGTTGCCCCTGTGATGTCAGTCATGATGTCGTTCCTGTTGAATTAGTGCTTCACTACCGTCGCCATTGAGAA